ACATCAGCTGCTCCCTCGTCAGGGGTCACCAACCTAGCTATAATACTCCAACTCACCTCCGTCGCAGTAGCCGTCCCCAGAGTGCACCGGGAGGGTGCACTGGGATTCACCTGAAAGCGTCAGCGACGTGCGATGGGGGTTTGTTGGGCTTACCGAACCGAGGGCGGCCGTGCAGCAAGAGCGTCACATAATCTGCGGCAAGCAAGCAAGTGCAGGCGATCCCCTTTCGACACTGGTCAGTCCTGCCTCGACGAACACGTCAATTGTGCCATGCTCCCGCTCATTAGCGTTGAAGCACCACTCACATCATTCCACCAAACCTCCAATCGAGTCGTCTTGACGATACGTAGACAATAGAGCCACCCTGCGGCCGGAAAAAGCAGCCAAGTCAACAAGAAAACGACAACAAACCAAGATCGACTACCCTTGAATGGTTCGTGTGTCCCGTCTCGACGACCGGGTCCCACAATGCTTCAAACCACAGAAGGAAAGGCCGTCGAGGAGTACCAGCCCTTCCAGACAGAGGTAGCAAGACACGTGCGATGCGATTCGTCCATGCAAAGTGGTCAATACAGCGTGACCCACGCAGTGGTCATGGGGGATCACTTCGCCCGTTTGGGCCTCTCTCGACTGCCACCCACCGTAGCACGCCGAGTCGACGTCAAGGCAATCGTAACCGAAGTCGCCGCAGACGACCTGGGCGCAGCCGAACGTTTAGTCACACGGGTGCTGTTATTGGGGTGAGCGCTCACTTTCCAATCGTGGAGGATACCATTGTGAGCACGGTTTCTGACTATTTGGTGCGCCCGTTGTATATCGCGCTACAAACGTCACCAAGACTCCGACCGCCGACATTCAACACCCAAAGAACGCTCAAAACTCGGTGGGTCGCGTCCACAAACGTCTCGCGATAGTCCTCACCTCGTCGCAGTCGCACGAGCAACAATCCCCTCCGTCATATCCACATGTATCGACGTTGTTGGCTGCGAGCGAGCCAGCAACAGAGAAAACGGGGCGGTCATATCGGGACGCGGTGCATTACCATGCCCCTCCGCATGTCACATGGTCAGGTCGGTAAGCTCCCAAGCGACCAAACATTTCACCGTAGTCGAGTTGTGCAAAGGGGGCTTACTGTGCCACCTAACCCTAACCCATCGCACGCCGTCCCGCTGTCACGAATAGCGGGTGCGTGGGGCGGTGGCCAACGTAAAGCACTTGAATGAGCAAAGGGACGTGCGACCGTGTTACGCTTCACTGGTGAGATCATGCCAAGATAATGCTCGCGTGTTTGGGGCCGCGTGCGGTAGTTTATTGATAGGCAACTAAATTCGTGACGCACACCCACACCGCGCGGAACCAGCAAATTCTGAGCGCAACAAGTGTGCCGCCCCGTCACGTCGAGAAGGAGGCCTGAGTGCCTCCGCACGATCAACAAGCAGCGCGTAGTCCCAGCGACCTTGCTTGAAGACGGGGGAGATGTAGGTGCCGCCACAACTAACGCGGTTGACGGACCCCACAGTACAACCTTTCGCCGCATTACGCCACTCACGATGTCAGTGTGACCCTGAGTCGCGGCCATGTTCGGTGGTGGCGATCGGTTTACGGGCATGGAAGTACGGGCTAGACACCAGCGTCGTTTTATCAGCTGCAACATCGCCAGGGGGTCACCAACCTTGCAATATTTACATGTAACTCACTTGGGTCACACCAGCCGTCCGAGATGTGTGAAGACGAACCACCGCAGTCGGAGTATTCTGCGAACGACGTCGATGTGCGTTCAGGTTGTTGCTGGGCTAAGAAAGGATTGGGGATCGAGCAGCGAGAGGTATATCGCCAGCGCCCGTCGCATATTACACCCCACCTCTAAACTTGTGAGTGAACATGATGTCCTACATACGTTCCAACAATCCCGACTCCCTCTGAACTGCGAGCATAAGCTTCAAAGGTGAAGGGTGGCACCAGCTCTAATGTTCCTACCCATCAGCCACCGGGGGGCCGACAGTGGCGGAACCGACTGTTGTCCCCTCAACATCTGTTTTATATTGAACCACACAGAGCAAACAGTCTGCCAATATTTGATGATTGCATCGTTTCGATGGTAGATGCAGCCACATCTGATATCGTTTCTTGGAGGCCATGCCGTGACTTCGACCGGTCAAGGGGACCCCTTGGAGGGTGCACTGAAATGTTGTCGCCGAAAATGGCCAACGCCTGACTTGTCGAATGTCCGCGAAAGGATTCGGCCTTACAACATCGCAATCCTTGCACCAGCTCGGCAATCTACGTCAAATTGCCCTATTAAGTCAAATATTGTTTCCATGTTCACGGTGCTTCGTATCTAGGGAGGCTAGATTGCCGGACTCTGCGCGTTGTTTCGAGATAGCCATAGGAGAAAGAACTTTCAGTGGGTAACTGCGGACGCTCGTGTGGCGGCGATGCGCTTTTTGAGCATGGCCTTTGAGTTTCTACTGTACGCGGGGCCAAACTGATACTCTTTCGCTCCTGATACCGTCGTCAATCGTCAGCTTACCGCTGCTGGTGGCCAGTCGGCGGTGACCGAGATGTCCCTCCTGGTGTTTTCATTCAACGCAGCGGTCGGGCAAGTGTTCGTCAACGCATGCTCTACTAATCAGCTACCTACACACACTTTGGTAAGACAGACACCAATGGTAGAGTGAAAGTGTAATGTCAAGCCTGGCACACAGGAGTCGATGAGACCGGCCTGCCCCTAGATGTTTGAGGCCCCCTGTTCCAAAATGATGGCTAGAACATCGTGGCGGTATCTGAAGTACTCAAAGAGGTTGATTTCACCACTCCGTGTATCATGTATGTTGCTCTACGCAACAAACTTCAAATCGTTCGAGCTGCTGCATTCGGTGGAGAGTAAGCGCACAGTAGTCAGCAGGCACACGTACCAAGAGGAGAGCTTTTAACTCGCATTCAAGTATAACATTGCTTGGCCGTGGATACCTTGCGACCGTGACAGCAACAGAGTCTAAACAACCACGCTGTTGGGATGCACGTGAATACAGCACCTCTTGTTGTATTGTGGTGAAATATGTTACTGCCAATGCCGCGAAAAACAACCATCACTCATGCACAACAGTGAAGCGACGTTTTGACGCGACCACACGGCCCTTCTTTGCTCCGCCATAGGTATTGCCGGACACACCGAACCGAACAACCTCGTGGGTTGTGGATATGAAGTGCAGCAGTAGGGTCTCACCGAGGCTAGAAACCCGTCATTTTCGACAAGCTGCACAACGGTCGTCCCCCTCACAGCCTCCTTTGGCGCTCGCAGCGTAGGTATACCCGAGCTCCGATGCTCTGCACTTCCTGCGACGATTAAAATGTCAAAGGCAAAGCACATTGCGAAGAATCTGGAGCGTGCCGCCATCCTCACCTTTGCGGATCTCGTAGACATAGTAGCATTGGCACGGTGAACGGAATAATTTATCTAGAACCTACCTGCTGGTATTCCGCACGGCGATGCCGTCGTGTCAGCTATGTGGTGGAAATCAATTAAGTTCGCTGATGATTTAACAAACGCATACACTAGTCCGACAGGGAACTCCGCCTTTGTACCTACTATACGCAGGTTGTGGGTGGGTACGAAGGATAAATGAAGCTTCAAGGGACTGTAGATCCTGATTGAAATCACCGGTGATTGAGAGTGGTAAGTCCGCATCGGGAAATCAGATCAATTTTCGATTCTTGGGTTTCTACAGCCTCGTGGCCACAATCCAACATCATAAACATTTCACAGGCCTTGAAAGTGCCCAGACAGCTATTGACTTCGACCAGTCAAATGGTCCATCGACAATCGAAATCGAAATTGGATTTTGATTTTTCTTTTTCTGGTTGGCTCGACACAACGAAGGCGGGGAATCGAAATCGAAAATCAACCCGGAAGAGGCGAACAAGGTCTGTATATGCCAGTTGCGGCGATTGAAACCATGACCGTGAGAGCCACACGGCATCCATGACAGCGAACGAAAGCTCCGAACAACGGCCATGATCAGGTGGGTCGAAGTTCATTGTTTCGCATCGATACGCTGCGAAATCGGCGAGCAACGTTCGATTGAATCCTGCGTGCTGAAATACAAGCCGAAACAGTTGATGTTTAACTGCGTCGACGAAGAAATAATTTCACGACAATATCTCTCTCTCTCTCTCTCTCTCTCTCTCTCTCTCAACTTAGAGCAGATCTTGCTCAATGAAAGTATATCGTGCTCTGCCGGATGCAGGCTTGCTGCCAAGCGATTGCTTGCATCGCCAAGCACTCTGTAGGTGGCTAGATGATGAAGGCATGTACAGTTCTTTGAGGGTGTGGCAAGCCAGCTGATGTTCTAGTCGCCATTTTTGTTTCATTTTCGAGTCTTTTCGTGCTCGATATCTACCAGCTGGATTTTACCATATCGGAGAATGTATTCGGAACACTTACCCCTATACCGAATATCCGGCGGCGGGGAGCTATGTCCAAACAGTTACACGTTTATGTCGATTTTCAAAATTTTCGACGGAAAACTTGCCTGACAAGAGCCACCCGGACATGGTACAGAAAAAAAGGGAAGGTACGAATATGTCATGAGGGCGGCGTGATGAGCGTCGTTCCTAGCCTGTCGAACATAAAAAAATTGCGGAAGAAGTTCAACTTGACGGACCAGACAACCCGCCTCCGACCACCTACTTCACAACCTGGACTATCGCCTAGTGCCTTCAAGATTGATGTGGCTCCTGCCCGTCTCAACAGACGTACCTCACGGCTGCTTATGCTTTCAACAGCAACAAGGCCGTGGCATTGGCCTTGCACAGACAGAACCCAGTTTCCGGCCGCCTCAATAGCGCTCCTTCACAGCGAAAGAAGACAACAATGCACCCGATGCGCTTTCGGCGGAGTAATATTTTCAGATCTCCTACATAATCAACATCTTCTTTGCCGAGGTCCTCGAGGTCGTTGTCATCCGAATCAGAGAAGATGATGTTGTTCCACGGAGCCTGGTGTGCTTGGAGGAGGGGAGGACGGAAGCGGGGGGGGGAGGAGACACCCCTTGACCGAGTACGGAGGGCAGTATGGGGGATGCTGTATGCCGATGATGCCGGCGTCGTATCAAGGTCTGCAGAAGGACTGGCGAGAATGATGACCATCATCGTTGAGGTGTTCAGGGAGTTCGGGCTAACGGTATCGGAGAAGAAGACGGAGACGCTCCTGATGCGCGCGAAGGACAAGCCGACTACCATCACAGCCCCCCCCGCCTCCACCGCTGACCATCGAAGCCGCGGGACAGAAATACGCCCAGACGACCGAGTTCCGGTACCTCGGTGGCCTCGTCAACGAACATGGCGACCTCACCTGGGAGATCAACTACAGGAGCAGAGCAGCGTGGGCGTGCCTCAGGCGATATAGCCGGGAGCTCTTCGACAGACCGAAAGCGCCATTCCGAGTCAAGATCCGCCTGCTGCAGGCGGAGGCGATGGAGGCACTGCTGTACGGCGGCATGACATGGTCACCACTCAGCGGCCACTATCAGACGCTGCGGTCGATACACCACCGACTGCTCCTTCGCGCTATCGGAGACATGCGAAAGAAAGACACCTACCGACAGCTCTCTTACGCCCAGACGCTGAAGAGGGCCGAATGCCAGAGCGTTGAAGCCACGATCCGACAACGACGCCTACTGTTCGCGGGAGCATTGGCAAGGCAGCCAGACGGGCGACTCCCGAAACGATTAATGCTCGGCGAACTGGCGGGGGACAGGAACAGAACTGGCAGAAGTGGGTACTCGACGACCTGAAGGCATTCGGGGCCGACCACGGATCTACGAAAACCGATCCGTGTTGTCTCGGAATCCCGGTACCGAAAGACACGGCACCGAAGTTAATGTGGACGGAAGCCGCGAAGGTGGAGGGGGGAGTACCCTGGCATGCGGCGGTGCTGCAGGGCGCTGAGAGGTTCACGACCTCCTGGCACGAGAAGGAAGAATGGGCCGGCCGACAACGAGCGCTCAAACGAAACCACAAGCCAACAACCAATGGGGCGGGAGGGGGGCAGGAGACGGACGAGACGGCGAGGGAACAAGGCAAACGAGAAGGGACCGACCGGGTGGCGCGATTTTTTTTTTTTTCTCCCATCATTGGACTCTGTCGTCTGCCCCTCTGGCCCCTACCCACCGCTTCTACCAGCTGGACGACCCTACCAGGGTCACATGGGAGGGGGGGGGTTGGACCCCTCCTGCTGTTCCTGCCCGAGATATTTTCATCGCGAGAAGGGTACAGCAATCTCTTCCCTCGCGACATATGAAGTCGATCAAGTTAACTAACAACGAGCTATGCGGCGCGTCGCTTCCAACGGAGACCGGGATTTGATTAGCGAGAAAAACTCACTCTATCGGGACTCGAACCCATGACCTGGCCCTTAGCAGGCTGCGAGCCTACGCACTAGACCACCGGGGCGACCGGCGTATGTGCCGGATTGAATCCCTTTTAGCCTATTCCCTCCCCCAACGCTGCACCATTGCACCAACCGCCCACTAGTGATGACGTACCATTAAAATGTTGTTGTTGTTGTTGTTGTTGTTCTCACATGAGCTCTCTAGTCCAGAAAAAAAAATAGGGAGCCCGTGGTCTCAAAACCCGGCACATACAACGCCGCGGGGAAAAAAAACAAAATAGGGTACAAGCCGTTCGGAAAAAGAAAAAAAAAGATCGAACGAAACGAACAGGTATCGCATCGACCGTTCGAGAGAAGAGCCTTCGGAAACCGATCAAAGTAAATCAAAAACAAAATAAAGGAGGACGCTTCCCACACTCGCCAAAAGAAAAATCAAAGGGTGACGTACAAGCACCAGGCGCTGCGCACCAGGGGATGGGAATAACGGAGCAAACAGGACAAAGTGGCGGCAGATGGGCAGACAACCAGACGTACAAAAACAAAAGCAACAGCAAAAGAGAGATCAAGGTACGCAACACAGCAGAGTAGGCAGGGAGGTCATGAAAAAAGAAACACAGCACAGAGGCCGAAGGCAATACAAAGGACATACATCAAGAAGTATAGCGTAATATGTTGTTGTTGTTGTTGTTGTTGTTTCTCACACTAGCTCTATAGTCCACAAAAAATGGGGAGCCCGTGGTCTCAAAACCCGGCACATACGACGCCGCGAGAAAACAAAAAACAAAAATAGGATACAAACCACTCGGAAAAAGAAAACAAAATGATCGAAAGAAAGAAAAGAACAGGTATCGCACCTACTGTTCGAGAACAGAGCCCTCGGACACCGACCAAAATAAAACAAAACAAAAATAACAAAAAAATAAAATAAAGGAGGACGCTTCCCACACCCGCCGAAAGAAAAAATGAAAGGGTAACGTAACGTACCAGCACCAGGCACTGCGCACCAGGGCATGGAAGTAACGGAGCAAACAGGGCAAAGAGGCGGCAGATGGGCAGACAGCCAGTCGTACAAAAAAGCAAAGGCAACAGCAGTGATATATCGCTGGTTGGTGGCCATGGTTGCGTGTTTGCTTGTTCGTTAGTGGTCTCTCCACCGTGTGCCTTTTCAGAAATTTGTTTCTTGCTATTTTCGGCCTGGTCCCTTTTTGTCCTCGCTCTTTTTCATATTATTTTCCCTCTCATTACTGTTTCCTTCTATTTTTTTTTCTATATTTTCTCTTTTACTCTTTTTTTTCTCTCTTTTTCTGTGCCACATGGCCTTGTCTTTGCTTGCGTTGTGAAATACCAAGAGTGAACCAAGGGGGTGTACCCATTCTCTCCGGCCCGTGATAGTGACTCCTAGTCTCAGTTGTTGACTCGAATAGCGCGCAGAGGGAGTGGAGANACACACACACACCACGAGTACTAGGTAATAGCCTTGGTAGACGCGTGCATTTTTCGTCTGTTGCTGCTGTTTCTGTTTTTTATCGGAAGGATAGTTTAGCCTCCCCCATGCTGCCCCCTCACGGGGTCCCAGTTCATGGTAGATAGAAGTGTTTTGTGTTTTCAACCGCACTAAGACTGACGTCTTTTCATTGGTCAGCCGGTTAGCGCGGTCGATGCTAATAATAAAAACACACACACACCAAAAAGCGGCGAAATAAAACGCGGCGAAATACAAAATGCCGCGGGCGGAAAACATGGGTGATTGTCCGCCGTCGAATTGTGCCTACAACAGCAGCGCACGCGACCCACAATCGCTTGGCAATCATGTCGGAGGTATCAAGGACGGGCGGTGCTGCGATCTCAGGGGCTAGTGGGGTCCGTCCTTCCTCTGCGGACGCGGTAGCTGCCCCTGCGGACCCGTTGGCAGCAGGAGAGGCCATTGACGAGATGCTTGCGGCAAAATCCTGAATATACGTGTTGGGTGTGTGTGATGACGTCACTGGTTTTGTAGAGAGACGCGGCAGAGATGACGCGGATAACCCGGGTGCCTTAATTGTGTACCTGCATCGTGGAAGACCCCTTCAATGTGGAACGATTCCTAGTCAGTGTCGATTTTTACACTGCTGTGCCCAACACAGATGATCTGGATAGATTCGGGTGATTGTTAATTGCAATAATGGCTTTGGTTGGGTGTTCTTCATTGTATGTCCACGAACTCATTCTGACAGCAGACAAAAGCTGNTGTGCCACATGGCCTTGTCTTTGCTTGCGTTGTGAAATACCAAGAGTGAACCAAGGGGGTGTACCCATTCTCTCCGGCCCGTGATAGTGACTCCTAGTCTCAGTTGTTGACTCGAATAGCGCGCAGAGGGAGTGGAGAACTCCAGAATATCTGTGGTTGATTTCTACTGACTTGCGGACCCCTCGGGGCCAGTTTATTGGAGTGTACCTTATTAGGTTGAGTTAGCCCGAAGNTCTCACATCAGCTCTATAGTCCACAAAAAATGGGGAGCCCGTGGTCTCAACACGCGGCACATACAACGTTGCGGGAAAAAAAAACAAAAATAGGGTACAAACCACTCAGAAAGAGAAATCAAAATGATNGATAGAGAGACCGGGATGGTTTTTAATGTGAAGTCAACAACAACAACAACAACCGTAAGGTTGCGGGTTAGAGCACCCCTGTGCGATCGTTTTATAAACATTTTCCAAGTTTAATTTTCATCGCACAGGGGTGCGATGACTCCGGACCGTGCGATGATTCCACACCCTGTGCGATGACTCCAGTATGTGCGGTACTTGAATGGAGACGCACGAACACCTCAGCTGTGCTGCGGTTGCAGGCTCAACACGCAACGTACACACACGCGCGCACATCAGCCAACCACAGTAGCTAGCCCAATGGATGCTAGGTTTTGGAGAAAGAACACAACACACACACACACACCANTTTGCTAGATTTTGGGATTAGCAACTGACACGAGTTTCATGTGAAGAAAACAACAACAACAACAACAACAACAACAACACCTGGGTAGAGAGAGATCGGAACGGTTATTAATGTGAAGACAACAACAAAACAAGCAACAAACACATAGGGCGGGGAACAAGGCGATGATGGTGACGGTCGCAGAGGCCCTGTGGGACATGCTCTACGCTGACGACGCGGCCATCGTCTCGCTCACGCCGGAGAGCCTCGAAAAGATGATGTCCATCATCGTGCGCGTGGCCGGCCTGTTCGGACTGATGGTATCGGAGCCAAAGACGGAGATCATGTGCATGCTACCGAAAGGGCTGGGGGAACGCCCGTTCGCGGTCAGCGCCGCTGGCCAGACGTACAAGCAGACAGATCGGTTTGTGTACCTCGGACGTACCATCTGCGCGGATGGGAAGGTCGACCGGGAGATCACGAGCCGCATCTGCCGAGCATGGAAGTGCTACCGCCGGAACAGCACTTCGATGTACGACAGGAAACGGGCCAACCGCCAGCTCAAGATCCGACTACTCCAGGCTGAAGTGGTGCAGACCCTCCTATACGGGTGCGCCTCGTGGAGCCTGGCAGCGGAGCACTACACCAAGCTGAATGGGACCCACCGCCAGTTCCTGACACGGTGTATCGGCTGGAGCAAGCGGAAGCGCTCAGACCGACCCCTGTCCTACGCCCAGGCCCTCATCCAGGCCGGCTGCGAGGAAACCATCGAGGCCACCGTGCGCAAACGGAGGCTGTGTTTTGCGGGCTTCGTTATGCGCATGGAGGACAACCGCCTCCCCAAGCGCATGCTGCTGGGAGCGATGGCGGGGGGTACCGGATACCGGGGCGGGCAGGAGAGCGACTGGGTGTATCGCCTAGGAGAGGACCTCGTGGCGTTTGGCATGAAAGAGGAGAAGGAGGGGGGGAGATGGAAAGAGAGCGCCAAGGACCAGGAGGCGTGGTACGACAAGATCGAGGACGGGGCGGCATGGTTCATGAGGAAATGGCACAGACAGGAGGCGGAAGCATCCGCGAAGCGCCAGCGCCAGCGCGCGGAGGAAGCAGAGACGGAGAGTACGGCCGCCCCGGGCCCGAAGAGAAAGAGAATCGGGGAAGCGGCGGGGGGGGGGAAGAAACGGCGACCGGACACTGCTGTAGAAGCGAGTAGGGCGGCCAAGGCCGCGCTTGCGGCGAACGACGTACCCAACTGATGATGTTGTCGCACCCTGTGTTCCCTTTTCCCTGCCGTAAGCTGTATGCTCTTAGTATTGCCTCCGGCCTCTCTTTGTGCTTTTCTTCTTTCTTTCTTTCTTGTTCTCCATGCCCTCTCTACGATGATCTTGGACGATACCTCGAGCTCCTTGTTATTTTTGTTTTTTCCTTTGCTGGCTGCCTGCCACCTCTGCTGCCTCTTTGGTGCGGTGCCTACCCTACACTAATGCGCTGGTGCATACTGCACTGCTGTAGTACCTGGTACTGGTGTACGTTGTCCTTCGATTTTTTATTTTTTTGTAGGAAT